CATTAAAATTTCATTATATTTTGCAAAAAGTATTAATTGGTTAGCATGGTAAGTATATATCTGCTAGCCCTGTAATCATGTTGCTCTGTTTAAATAGCTACTCGTGTCATACTGCTCTGTGAAGTGTGGAAAAATTATTTTCTGACCTCTCCAGTTGCGTAGAACTCATTGGACTGATATTCAGGAAAGATCTGGAAGAACTGTGTCAAAGCACTTATAAAAGAAAAGAGGAGAATAAGAAAAAGAGTTAGTAACGATCATTACTGTGAAGATAAATGAAATGACTACATGCAAATTAGATGGTCATATTTTACTTGTACAAATCTCTGCCAACATCATCCTGGTCCTGAGCGAAACCTCTGTCATCTTCAGTGAAGCTGAAACCTGTTCCAACCTAGAGAGAGAGGAGAAAAAAGAAAACATAAAATCCCAACACTTCCTCAATGTTTCAAAAGCACCAAGTGAAAATGACATTTTAAGTAATACTGCTTTTTTTTTTTTAATGTGATGATAAATCAGAAATACATACTGGATTATCAATGTACAAAACTGAATATCTGGCTGTCCAGGCATAATCCCTCGGACCGACTGCAAAGACAGAGGATATAAACTTTATAAGAAGGTTTAAACAACCTGGGAGTCTTGCTGCTGCAAATCAGTTCTTACCCGTCATGTTCTTGTACACCACATACGGCCCATGTTCCACAAAGAGACCGAACATGGACGTGCCACCAGGCCCACCTTGCAGCCAGAGCAGGACTGGAGCTTTCTCCTGGTTTGCCTATCAGTCACATCAGAGCAAGCACAAAGTTTAAGAAACTAGCGCCACCTAGTGGACTTTTACCGCCATACAGTTGTTTAAAATTATGATTTTGGAATCTGCAGTGTTTAGAAATGGCCCCAAAAGACCTTCCTAACTTGTGTAAATCAATAATTCTCCTTCCACCGAGTTGCTTGGACTTTCCCCATTGTTCTGAGCATTGGTCTGATAGGTAGTGTCAAACTTTTTCCTATTTATGTTGAGACAGTGAACCTACCACTTGTCATCAATCAACCAGAAGTTAATAGGCCTTGTCAAGCTAAAAGACATTGTAGAACCTTCAGCGCTACTTTTTAAAAGATTTAAGTGAATGAATAGATTTGAACCTCTATGTATACTTTTGACCCAATTCCTGTTTTTTACGTAATTATAGATGTGTGTTGCACAATCATTCCACCCTAGAGAAAAAACAGTGCAAAGAAATCATGTTCATAGTGACCCTAACATTCATGCTCATTTTTAATGTGATTTAAACTCCTGATCACAGTTGTATATGTATTCTGGTCCAACAGGGGTAAAAGGAAGTTGTTTAGAACCTTTCCAGATTCTTTTTTTCCCTGGAGGCTTTTTAGTAAAAAACATTCAGTAAGATTCAAACTTTACTTGCTGTCATTAAATGCGTCAATCTCCACTGCTCTGGAGCATTTTCATAAATAAAATTAAAAAACAAAACACTCAGTTAATGATTAAAAGACATAATAAAAAAGGCACAAGTGTAAGTTAAAAAGTAAAACAAGCTCTCTTCCTGTAAGGATTTTTGCTTTAAAAATCAGCAAAGGAAAACCTGGGTATTCCTGGTTGCAGCTGACTAAATATCACAACTTCACAGAGGGACTAAAGATAAAGTTGACTTCTGAAAACCCCACACAGATTTGATCCTAAAATCTCTCCGTCCTCTCAGTGATTCCTGTCACACTGCACAAATAAGAGTACTGTAAATTTGGGAAGCCCCTGTGGTAAAAGAAGTTAGGCCTACCATGGAAGCAGGGAAGAACCAAAAGAAGAGGTTGCTGTTGTATTTTTTGTTGACTGTGAGGTATCCAGCATAACTCTTGACTGACTTATTGCCTCCTGGCAGGTCTCCCACCAGACTCAGTTTCCTGGCTGGAAGAACGAGATATCGCCACATTGTGGATGTGCAACACAAAAAGCACGAAGCCAATCTATAGTACTTTACTTCGTAGTAACACAAATACAAGTTTACCTTCATCTATAGCGCCCTTCTCCAGATAAGGAGTGAGAAAGAGAGGGGCACCGGGGTCGACTCCGTTCAGGCCGCTGACGCGGGGAGATTTTCGGCAGAAAAACGACGAGCAGCCCCCGAAGGCGGCGGAGTGCAGACAGGCCCACAGTAAGAGGACACCCAGAGTTTCTCTCAGCAGCCTGCCAATATATGTAACATAGATATCACAATGCGGGCCTGGCCAACGATGTGTGAACCTCAAGCACCCCCAAGACACTCAGATTTCAAAACAGTGCGACCACAGCGAGGCTGCACGCCCCTGACTGCGAGCATGAACTTATCGTCATTCTTTCAAAACTCACCTCATTGTCGCAAACACCGGCAGCAACACAGACTTCACCTTCTAACACAGGCGAAGGCAGGTGGAGTAACAAATCCGGTCTCACTGTGATTTTAGTCACATGATCGGCTCTGTGCCGGTCACATGAGATACTGGATCACGTGGTCGTTGTTGTTTAATCAGCCCTCAGTCGTGCCTAGCAGGAGACGCCATTCGACTGTGGCTTTAATGGCCACATGTGTCATTACACCAACGTCCCTAGACAGACCTTAACAGTATAATACAAACTACACCATGCAGCACCAACGCTGGCATGTTTTCTGTTAGTCTCCTGGTTGTAAATTGCAGACAGCAGTTCCTAACTTTTTTTTTTTTTTAAAAAGCACTAACTGACACTTTTAAACATACAGAAAATACCCTGATAACGACTGTGTTTAGTCTGTTCCTTCCCATTCCCTACAAGGCCACCAGGGTTGGCTGGAAGACTGTTTACTTAGCCTGGCAGGGCGAAGGACACTGTCTCAGCTGAACTATGGACACGCACACACATACATATACTGATACTGATAAGCACTCACCGACGCATCACCCTCCCTACCCCGGATCCAACACCACCTCCAACGCTTACCTCCCCTCTGATGTGGACATCGGGTCAGTTGGAGGCGCAGTCGAAAGATTGCAGCGGTCCCAGATCAGATGTACACACTGGAACTGTCTGTGTTTATTGTGCTATGGTGTGTTGATATCTGTGCATTCCTGTATTATCCTTTTGTGTTACACATTTCAATGTTTTTTCCTCGCTACCTAGCCTGACCTGTCTCCCCAATGTGATGTTTGTGTATTGTATGTACGGTCGGCAAGGTCTGTCATCTCGGTTGTGGGCAAAAGACCTGCAACTGACAAATAAAGGCTATCTCATCTCATCTCCTCTCATAATTTGTTCACAAAGTTTCAAAGTAAGACAGTTTTCAGTAGCTGTTTTGGTAATACTTTATCCACTGCTCAAAATAAAATGTAATTAGTTCTTTAAGTGACTACAGAGTAGATCCAATAACACAAAGTCAGTAAAACTTCAGGGATTTTACTCTGTCCAGTACACATAGCATAAACCACTGTGGTTAAGTGACAACAGCTGCACTGGAGAAGCAACAACTCCCAGAAAGGGAATGGTTTTGCAGGTAGTGTCCCAATCCCTCCTGATTTTTTTTTTCTGTCAAGCTCTGGCAGATCTCCTCCTGGTCCTCCTCAAACAAAGGAGCAGTTAACAGTCCTGCTGTTGAAGCTGATGGTTCTGTACAGCACTCGTGTAACAGCTCGTGTCCTGGTTTCTCCTCAGGACTGTCGAGACTGCGCTGAGAGACACAGCAAACCTTCTGGTGATGGCACATATGGATGTGTCATCCTGGAGGCGCTGGGCTACCCGTGCAACCTGAATGTGCTGCAGGCAACATTTCATGCTGACAAGGACACTGACAAAAAGAAAAACCGGGCACTCTCCAGGATATCTGCTGTCACTTTTACTTGGATAAGAGCAGATGAAATAATGGTTTATGTTTACTAAGTTAGTTGTATACCTAAAATTTATTTTATGCTGTAATATATAATATACTTAATTTTTTTGAGCACTGTATATTTAGCCTTTGCCAAGGAGGTGTTTTAACCTTCACATAGAAAAATAGCAATGCACTGGCCAGCTGGAAAAAGGTGAAGTGGAAACTAATTATCTGGTGTTTCTGGTGAACACAGATGCAAGTAATAAATCTTTGAATGAGCCTAACAGTACTGCAAACTTGGGCAACATTTAAAATAGGAGTAATAACAGTTTATCTGCTTTAAAGCATCAACAAATAGCTTGCACTCTATATTATTTGGTATCATGAAACAGGAATCCTTTGGGTTTGTTTCTCACTGACATCTGGAAAGTGCTTGGAGCTGATGTAAAGTGAAAGTGGCAGGCACCAGGGCTGATGTGATAGGTTGAGACAGCTGTCCATCAGATCTCAAACGGTTCTCAACAGCTGAGGGACTGAGCATTGTTTTAAATATAGTGATATTTTGCCTTTTGCTGAATTGAGACTCACTTACTTGGCGATCATTTCTGTGGAGGAGACCAAACCAGAGCTAAAAGATTTGAATATGGTGCTTAAACTCGTCGGCGTGTGAGCATCAGTCGGCTATTCTAGATGATACAATCAGTGTGTCAATAACCTGTAAACAAAATCACTCATTCTTTAACACTGATTGATGGTTGTGTTATTATTGTCCTGTTTCCACTATGAAGGGGGAAACTATTATTAATAAAATCATTGATGGCTGCTCTCTGTTGTTCAAGCAATGGCACGTGACAGTGAACCTGGCATGTATCGTGCCAAGGACATTCAAACACACAACTCTGAAACAATGATGGAAATCTCTTGTGTGTGTGTGTCTGTGTGTGTGAATGACTGATCCTTCTGCCTCCGATGCAGTGAAAAAAAGACGGTACAAGGAGCTGCTTGCAAAAGGTTTTTGGAAAGAGCTGATGGTGAGATTTTTTCTGAGGCGGTTGTAACGTCATTAACAATCTGCTTTTCTATCAATTTCCGGTGTGTTTTTATTGACTGTTTTGCTTATAGTACACAATTCTGTCTGCAGGTGCAGCCACACTGCACACACCCTGCTGTTGGGCAGAGGTCGGGGTGAAGTCGTGAGCATGTAACTGGTGGATGTGCAGAAGCTGTCAAAATAATGCAAAATGTAAGCCAGTTGATCGTTTTCTCCATCGCTCTTTTTTTAACTGATAAAAACGTTCATTTCTTCGAGCGATATATATTTTTGCACCACCAGATGGCGCACAGACACCGGGCTCGCCACAGCTGTTTCATCAAAAATGAAAATAAGAACTGCCAGCTCTGGAATAATACAATTTGCCCATTTGTGCCTTTTCATGAATCAAACGAGTGTGGTTTGAGGAAGAAAGTTCCGTCTGTTTGACATTCCGCAAGCGGAGCTGAGCTCTGCTGTTTTGGGCTTGTTTTTGCCTGTCAGGACTGCTTACATCTGGAAAACCTTGCTCCACAAAACTTTCACTTTAAGAAGGCGCGTCTAGGCTGCGGTGTGGTGTGTTTATTGCGATCCTTAAAGTGGCACATGGACGCCGTGGCTGGGCTCTGCATGGCACGACACTTTGTACCTACAGGTTCGGTCCATTGTGGGGAGGAAACGTTTTGACGAAACCGACCCACGGAGCACGTTCCTGTAGTCTTTTTCCATCTTTCTCATTTATTTTTGAATCCACGGCACCCACGGTGTATGCGGCAGCGTGAACTCCTCGCCGAGGCGCGCAGCGAGGCGAAGGAAAGGATCAGCAGATTCAAACGGACGGACAGGGGTGGTGTTGGTGGGGTCGGGATCAAACAAGACATGAAATGATCACCAGTCAGGCGTCAAAGGTGAAGCACACTGGGGCGTGAGGGAAATGGAGGCACCGCCAGGGACGAGCTGCTGTGAGCCCACCTTGGCCAAACAGGACTAACCGAGTCGTGAAAGTGATTGGGATGGCAGCATCCAGCAACTCAAGCCTCTCAGGTTCATCTTTATCCTCTGGTAAGAGTTCAAATTCTCCCCAAACGAACAGACACAGAAGCTTTGCACTAAATAATAGAAATAATAATAGGATTGCATTTCCTCTTGAGAAGTTTCTAATGCTTTCGTTTGGCTTGAATCAAACTTTTCTCTCCCGTTGGCTTGTATACAACCCACGCATTATCTTAATCTCTATTAATCTGTCTCACAGATTCCTTTCATTAAACTTTCTCGAGGTGGCAGCTGTGATAATATAGAAAAAAAAAACCCTCTAAGTGGATGCAGCTGTGGAGGTACTGGGGTAAAAGGAAAGCCCTTCATGTGCACAAGGATTATAAGGTCGTGAGATGCAGTCAGTGTGACGCTTGGTTTTGGATGTTGTCCTTAACGTTGCCAATCATTTCCACAATTCCACTATTGACTTTCCACTTGGCTGTCTTCTGTGATTATCTTTGGCCTCCTTTGTCTACCATTTTCCAAAAATGCAACATCAACCAGGCTGAGGTGTTTTCTGATATTTTTTTTAATCTAATATGCCCAGTTGAGTGATTATAATACATCTCAGACTGCTTCAGTTTGCAGAAAACTCCAGCCAAATCCCCTTTGCATAAACAATGGTATAGCTCAGTGATTAGCGCATATTATTTGTCATTTTTGTGTGCTTTGCTTTTCACAGAAGGAAAAGCAGAATGTTTGTCAGCAGCTGTTCAAATAAACCCTGAAAATGCAGTGGGAGCAGCAGAATGCTTTCTCTGCGCATAGTCCCTTGTGTGTTGATAAGGAGTAGCTCGTATTTGCCAGAGTATAAAGTACAACCTCCACTATCGCAGCACTGCTTGATGTGGAAGCCCCACCAAACAACCAGGGGCGAGCGTGTGTGACAGAGGGATGAGGCTGTTTGTAACGCTGAGCCTCCGCACGCGTGGTTTATGTTTGGACTATAAAATCACATCAAGAAAATGTGCAAAAAAGAGGGGGAAAAAAAGCTGCAGCAAAAAGTCAAATTCAGCATTGCTTTGGTGGATTTTCATTTAATTTATGGCAGGACGAGGACATTCCATAAAGTGTTTGTTTTACTTTCTCACTGTCTCTGCATCCTGACCACACACCAGCGTCACATTTCCCAAGGTACTGCCCAGTGGGAGGGACAGACAGTCAAGCTGATATAGCCCAGGGTGACCACAGGCTTCACAAAGCATTATCTCATGTGTGCGTTTCAGAAAGAAGTGGATTTATTGTTTGACCGCTGCTGCTTTAAGAGGAAAGTCTCTTCTTTCTGTGGCATTGGAGGGTTGTCATTACTGTTGGGCTCTCAATATAATTATCAGAGGTTACAAGCTGCACTGTTGCCAGGGATGGAGTGGTTGTCGCAAGGGTATTATTATTTTCGTGCAGAGCTCTTTGGCAGCCAGATGCAACATTTGAATAATCTTGTCTATGAGGCATATGACTGAAACATGAATCTCTGTGAAATTCCAGCTCCATATTAGGTCTTCTGTTCTTGCTGCAAACAAAGTGCTTTGGTATATTTGGCTAAATCCATCATATTTGTAAATCTGCACAATCGAATTGTAACTGATGGCAATTTTCTTTTATTTTCAAGTAACAAAAAGAGGTAACTGGGTTGATTTGTTTCTTTACTTTCTGCAAAATATCTACAAAACCCAATACAATGGGGTATTAGATTGTATGCAAATCACCAAAAAGCATGTTGTAGACATTTTTGAACTGGATGTTTAATATACAGCTGGAAGATAATAGCTATAGCCTCTATTCTTTGAAGTTGATTATAGCAATAGACAACCAAAATGATTGCCATAAGATTGCAACATAAATGTTGCAATCTCATCCTTTCCCTGGAAACATATCCTCTGGCTTTCTGTCTAAATCGGGGAGATTCCTACACATTCTTGGCGTGGTTAGGCATGGAAGCATGTAACTGTACCAGCAGCACACCATTTGGCAGACGGCTTCAGGAAATGAAGCTTTGAAAATGTTTTGTGAGGGCTACAGCATGAAAGTATGTCTTTAGATCCAGCCTTAAATGATAAAGTTGGTCAGGGAGGCAGACATGTCGCCATGCATTACAGACAGGCTGACTGTTAAGTGCGATCCTACACATTTCTTACAACATATCTCAACATATTTCTGTTACTTCTTTATTTTTCCTCATTTATTTGTTAATCTTTCAGGACTAGATTTGTGTCATGTTTTACTTGCATGTTTGCATTCACATTCTCCACAGCAGACTCAAAGAAATGTCAAAATCAGGTTACCAAATGATATTTTTCCTTGTTTAAACTCGCCTACACTTCTTTTTAACAGCCAGCTTTCCCTAAGGGTGTCTATGCCAGCAGCACACAAACACACTCCACAGAGAGAGAGACGCTCTCCTACCTGTCACATGTTATTTGGTCAGCTAAGACTGTGTTGAGATACTTGTTTTGGATCACTGTAACACACAGATGGTCTCCCTGCTGCAGCTCTGATGTATCCCACTGACATGCTTGTGTGTGCAAGTATTTTTGTGAGGTACGCACACTTGGAGATCTTCTCCAGAATGTGTCGTTTCTTAATCCTCCTTATGCGTGTGGATAAATCTCAAACCTGTAACTAAAACTTCAAAGTGTTTTTTTTTTTTTTTTTCCCCCACAAGTGGTCAACAGTAAAATTATTTTTCACAGTCACCTTTTGTTATGTTTATGAAACGGCCTTTTCTGATCATACATAAGCATCTTTACAGTCTTCACGAAGAACAGAAATAAGAATTTCTGTTCTCTTCATCTTTAGATGGTTAAAATGAGGAAAAATCAGATGGTATTTGAAACTGTAGAAGATATTCAAAGGACTTGAAATTAAGGACTCCTCCTGCCAGAACAAGACCTTGAAAGGTTTAAAAAAATAAACTAAAAGCAGTCGTGTACTGTTGGTCCATAATTTGCTTAAAAATCCCCACAATTTTTCTAGTCTGTACAATCAGCATGTGATTGAAGTCCGGTGAATAACTATTTTGGAATTACGGACGTTTTTATACACAGTGCCTGATTTTCAGAGGCCAGAAAACACCTAACAGAGCCCAAACAATACAAAAAAATCTTTAGATAAACAGAACAAAGCTGAATTTTTAGCACAATGATGGTAATAAAAAGATATGAAGGAAAGAAACGGCTCATGATCCAAACTATACCACATCATCTGTCAAACATGGCAAAGGGAGTGTTATGGTTATGGGCATGTATGGCTGCCAGTGGAAGTGGGTCACTAGTGTTTATTGATGATATGCCTGCTAACAGAAGCAGCAGGATTAATTATGAAGCATACAGGGCTGTACTCTCTGCTCAGATTCAGACAAATACTGCAAAACTGACAGATCTTCACAGTGCAAATGAATAATGACCCAAAGCATAGTGTAAAAGCAGTAGAGTTTCTTATGGTAGAGAAATGGGATATTCTTCAATGACCTAGTCGATCACCTGATCTCAACCCGATAGAGCATGCATTTCAATCGCTGAAGACAAATCTGAAAGTAGAAAGACCCACAAACAAGCAACAACTGAAGATGATGCAGTAAAGGCCTGGTGGAGCATCTCAAGGGAGGAACGATAGCATTTGGTGATGTCTATTGGTTCCAGACTTTAGGCAATCAATGACTGCAAAGGATTTTCATTCAAGTGATTAAAATAATCCTTATATTCAAAATTGTTTTAATTTGTCCAGTTTCAGTTGAGCCTCTGAAAAATGGGGGACTGTGGATTAAAAAAATGACTGTAATTCTTAAACAGTTAATGAAGGAAAGAAATCCTTGAATAAAAACTGAAAGTCTGCACTTCAGTCACATATCAATTGCTTGATTTAAAATCCACCGTAGTGGTGTCCCACAAATTTTGGGAGCTGACTATAAGCTGTAAAAAGGACTGCACAAATCAGATTTAAAGACATCTGCACGTACGATACAGTGACAGTGGGTCCCAGTTTCCAGTGAAATTACTGGCTCCATATTACCTCTGCAGATACGCCTCCAGATATGCAGCATTGCATTGCATGTTGGGAAACATCCCATCAGATGGTCAGGTATTGGTCTCATTTCTCCTTGTAATTGTAGTTTCTGTGTCACCTTCACTGTTGACAACAGCAGTGAGGATTGTGCACAGAAATCCTGTCTTAAAATACTCCAAAGTTGCTGTTGTCAGCCATGCATTCAGTGTACATCAACACAAGTCATTGTTTTAGGCGCTGAAGCGGAATATTTCTTTTGCATTTTGCACAGACAGTAGAGCGGACGGTATCTCGGAGGATAAAACTCTTAGCTTGATCTTTATTCATCGCAAATTCTCTTTGTCATCGAAGCAAACACCCGCTGGTAATTATTTTATTGAATGCTTCTGACTTGGTGAGTAATGGAGGGCAACGCAATTAATAGCTGTTTCTTCGGGGGGGAAGAGCCCTCTGGCTGCTTCAGAATTTTAAAATTCTCCCTGATCATCGTCAGAGAGACGCCACACAAACTCTGAGCCACTTGGAAATTCTTTTTGATGTTCTTTGGGTGTTTGTGTGCATGTGCGAGCTTGTGTGTGTGTGTGTGTGTGTGTGTGTGTGTGTGTGTGGGTAGGTATTTGCACATATGTGTATATTTGGGCAAGTGTCTGCCAGTGTTTGCATCTGAACCAGCACTTACGCGCTCCCTCTTTTGTAGCCAAAGCTGCTGCTCAATTCCAGGCCGAAATGCCATTCGTCATTATTAAGAATTAGATTGAAAAGAGAATATTTGGCAGCCCACCAGATGAAATCACATTCTTTAAATAAGCTGCAGTGGAATAAATCTTTCAGGCTGTTGCCAGTGCAGTACACAGTGACAAAGCGTCAGTGTTGAACAATACATTTTCCAAGGCAGCTTAGCCGCGCATCGGCAAATGGAGCCCGAAGGTTATTTGGTAGTGTTGGAAGGCAGACACTCTGTGAAGGGCTTCAGCAACAAAATTTATCGGGGTCGGGCTTGTTTGCCTTTTCTTTTTGTCATTTACATATTCAGCTGTTAATTGTGTGCACCTGTCTTGTTTGTGCCCTGTAATAAACAGAGCTCTTTGCACAGTGACTGTGCCGCAATGATGAGCTTTTTATTTTATTCGAAAATACTGCAACCAGCCTCCAGTCAAACTCATGCTGCCACCGCTCGCAGAGAAGCCAGCAGGAAGGAAGCGCCCTGACTGTCTGCTCTTAAAGTGCTGTCAGACACAAAAAAAATCAAAGAGGAACATAGAGATGTTAGTGGAACAGTTTTAACACAGATGCACTTCATATGACTAATGATTTTCAGTTTAGCTGCCTGGACCTCGGTGGCCATATCCAGCAAGTGCTCACTGGTTTTCATTATCTGATTCCCATCCCCATATGAGGTGTGTTTTATTACTTTCCTTCCTCGCCAGAGGGGTGTGGTGCGGATTTGCTGATGAGTACAAAGGAATGCTTTACATGTATCATCTGGGCGCAGTTGGGTAAATCTCTCTCTCTCTGGCACTGGGAGTGACATTGCTGGCTATTTTCTGCATTTGGCATGAAGTCTAATCTGCCTATGTGATAGCTATAGGCCACCAGGACTGATATTGTATGACTGAGTCAGTGTCACAGTGTGCATGCTGAGCATACCAGGCATTCAGTAATTTTCAAACATGCAATTAATTGTTTCTTCTAAGGGAAGAAAATCTAATTCTTATGAGATTTTTAGCTGTAACTGGTGTCAAATTAGCATGTTTTAACTGACTGCAATTTAATAGATTGTGAAAATCTTCAGGTTTTTGTAATTACAACCTTGTAACACGATTAAAAAAACCAAACAAACAAACGTTTGAGTTTGAAGGTTGAAGCTTGACACGACCTAAAAGTCCTCGCCAGGAGCGCTGATTTGTTTGGGATCTTGCCAGACTGCTCTGCAAACACAGTCAAAAACAACAAAGGGATATCAGTTTCTACATCATGAAACTGATGTGTACAAGTAACAAGTTGCTGTGCAAAAAACAAAACCAAACACTCCAAAAATGGATTTTGCACAAATGTATTAAGTTTTAATGTAACAAACTGTTTATGGGGACTATATCAGGAAAACTGAAAATATATACAGTACTATAGTGTAACGCCTACAGTGCTGTAGTGTGATTTCCCTTTTTGCTGTACAGTAAAAGAAAACCTGACGATGTATATTAGCCATTCTTATGATTACGGGTGTCAACGTGTTTTTTTTGTTTTTTTGTTTTTTTTTTATGACTTACCTTTGGCCACATTTTAATTCATTCGGTGACGTTTTCTCAGAGTATTACAAGTCATTTCTTTTCTCAGTAGGAGTAAACTCTGACTTGCTGCAGAGAACTTACTCCACCTTCTCTGAAACGTTTCCTGAGCTAATGTAACATCGTGCTCCATAATCACATAATCATATCTCAGCCACCACATTTCCCACGGGGATGTCTTGCTGTGTGTAGCAAGATTCAAATTGTATTTACTTCTGCTAATTTTGATTGGCGTGTTTGTAGTCTCACCGCAGGGCAGATGGGTGCTGTCGGGGACCTTGGTGGTTGTTAATATAGATCAGGTGCGTGCCGACACAATGTTTAGCAAGCGGACATCAGCCCGTACCGACTGTCCTTGAAGCGCAGACGCTGATTAGAATTGTATTCACTGGTGCGTCTCAAGAGGCAGCTGCGCAGCATGAATCCATATGCATAATTATAGCGGAGAGATAAACAACAGTGACATAACAGTGGTAAAGGGCGCACACTCATCCCACTGGGAAAAAGCTAGAAGTGGAGTTTTTGTAATGAGAGAAAACAGGAGAGTTTATTAACACAATCATGAGTTTGTGACAAAAGCCTATTTTTGTGTTTTGCAGACCCTGAGGATTATCAGCCACCCATATGGAAGTCTTATTGTGAGTAATTAATTCCCTTTATACACTGATTAGCAGTGCTTTCACCTAACTTTGCCTTTGGTGTGCTTCACCTTTTTTTTTTTCCTGCTCCACATTTCACACAGAAATGTTTTCTGTCCTTTGAAGAATTGGGTTTGGTTTAGCATAACAAAATTAGATGCACTGCAGGTTCCAAAAGGCCACGCACACACGCTTTAAAGGCACACACTGAGAACACACTCGCCCACTGAATTCATTCACACAAGCGCAAATGCAAAGCAGCCAATTCCTGATCTCTGAGTAAAATAGGTTACCAGCAGCTAGGAAAATAGGATTTTCTACCTGCTAAAGAGCCTCATTTAAAACGGGGTCCTCAGAACGCCCACTTCATTATGCAGTGTTTTTACCATGTGGGAGGAAACGGGTTGGCTCGTCAGAATAGAGGTAAACGCACTGATTGAAGCTGAGCTGAAATCGTCTCTGCTGGGGAAAATGTCTGTCCTACATTTTGCTTAACTAATTACAATTTATAGCTTTTTAAAATAACTTCCCCTGTAATTAAATGTCTAGTCTGCGTAATTTTACATTAATGCTGCTCCCGTCTGACTCCTCTCGTCCTATGTTGAGGTATTTTTGGATTCCCTCTGTCTTGGGAATGGATGATGTCCAGATCTTGCTGGTTGGCTTAAGTCAGCCTGACAAAACATGAAATTTCACAGTCAGGAGAGCCTTCCCCCTGCCTGGAGAATCTGCTGCGGTGAAGACTTAGCTCAGCCTCACACAGCACTTTCTTTAGCACTGCTTGCCAGTAGTGAGGACACTGGAGTGGAGCCGTCATCCACACACAAGGCTGCCAAACGATGGGACTGAGAGCATTAAAACAGGAAACATTTTTGTTTGTTTCATTTGTTTGTTGGCGATTTTGTGAAGTTTGCTTTGGTAAAAGGGAAAGTGCACTTCTAGACTCATAAAAAATCATGGTTAGCTACTGATTCTGATTCTCTGTTTTGGCTGCTCACTTTTTTTTAAACAGCTAATTGAACGTGCTATTTCTGGGAGGCGGCTGAGATGTTTGTGCTCATTAAATCCCTGCCACAAATCTCTCATTTCCATTTTTTCCCCCGTTTCACTACTAACGCTAATAATAGGCTTGCACTTGCACCACGTGTGTAAAAGTGTCTTTGTGTTTCAAAGTTGAAAGCAATCTATGGAGTTATAAGTGCACATTAGGTAAACAGGTCCTAATTCACACAAATGGATTTCAGATATATGGCCCTGTAAAACACTCACTGCTAAGCACTGCACACAAAAGCTAATGGCTCCTTATGTACCTGTTACTTCTGCTCTCTGAGCAGCGGTTAGAAGCTTCTTCCACAGGCTGCAGCCTATTAAGTGGAAATATGGCTTTACTCATAGCTGTTGTCCTTTGTGTAAATGCTGCACAGCACACTTTATTTCCTTCCTCTTAACTGTGTATTAACCACGCTTCTATTTGGTGGAAAACATGGAGCCTTCATCAATATGCATGTTTCTCTAACAGTGTACCAGCTACAGCAGGAAGCCCCAAGACCAAAGAGGATCACATGTCCTCAGGAGGTATGTGCAGCTTTGTGAACAACTGCATAGATGCTGAAAGGATCATAATCATATTTTTGTCACTGTAAATGTGAAAAACAATTCTTACCTCAGTGATAAATGATAAACAAATTCAATGCATTTAAATTAAGAAAAAGTCCAAATTTCTGAAACTGCTTGATTGCTCAGATAATTCATGTAGGCTTGCATTTGTATGGTTTAAAATTTCCAACGCACAGCAGCAGCGAAGCAACAATAAACGTTCTGATGCGAAACTAAGCCAGAATACAAGCAAAGCATGAATCCCATCTGTGATTGTATTCATTGTTTGTTTATTGCTGCCAAATGTCCGATATAACAATCGACCATATGGTCAGGCGCTGGAGCTAACTGACACAGTTATCGACACCATCAAATTCGAATTTATTATTTCTGAGTGTCTTTCCCTTCATGAGTCAGTCTACCACGCTACATGTACACCACTGCTCAGTTTTCACGCTCAGGTTTTTCCCGTGGAACACATTCGCTGACAAGTGATCGAGTCTGGCAGCTGGGAGCCAGACCACTCGGTAACCTGCGGGGAGCTGCTTGTTGAACCTCCCGCACCCAAAGTGTAACCATTTAAACTGCAAAATAAAAATTAAATAAGTGACGCTCCTTTCCTTAAAGTTTGTTTAGGAGCATTTTTTTCAGGGACTTTTTAAGGCAAAATTTAATGATATTTCCAAATCAATTACTATGTCGTTTTAGCTTGCACAGGGTTTGATTGTTCTCTCAATCCCGTGAATGAAAGGGCCGATTGAAGTGCTGCCATCACCTATAGTGCAGCTACAATTGCACATTTTATCCTATAAGAAACATCAAGATGTGTTACAAGTGTAGAAGAGAAATTCAAGATCAGGGGCGCTTTCGAAGGAGACTGCAGATTCGATCCCTTCAGTTATGTCAGGAAAGCTCATGGAGCAAGTTGCTCTACTTTTTACTTCCCTCGCAGAAAGATCTGTGAATTTTCTATTGTATAAGCGTCCAGAAATGATGCGTGTCTCATCCTATTTTGAGTCTTGCCACACTTTGATGAGCTAAGAGAAGCCTGTGGGCTGCTATTACTAGATAAGTAGTTGTCCAGTAATTCACTACAAAATGATGTTTGACATATTACCAAATCCAATGTCGTCATAGCTATTATCTATAAAAGATTACAGAAAGAAGGCCAGGAAAGAGGAAGAAAAAAAGAAGTCATGATTCACCGTGGCAGTGCTATAAAAGCTCAAATCTATGACATGAAAAAACCCCTCTTGTGTTATTGCAGGCGATCACTATAGCGATATCTGTGGTTATATTTACATTCAAGATTAAAAATAGGTTTAGCCATATCTCTTGGTAGACTTGTAATACATAGACACTAACAGGCTTAATATAAATTTTTGCAGCTGGCCATCTATCACCAGCTGTTTTAGTGCTTTGCCTCCAATTCATCTCCACAGTGTGTGAGCTGAATTTGTGGCTTTGGTAGCTGTGAATAGACACGGGGGTACAGATGGTAATCTGTGCTGTGGTGTTGGGCCTTTTATCTTTCACACAGGCTGTAAGAACAATTTGCAAAGCTATTTGATTGAGCTTTCATGTTATATTGCTGCAGCCAATATTTCTTCTTCTGGTTTACAGATGGAGAGCAGACCGAAATACTATGGCAGAGAGTGAGTGTAACTGAATTTCTTTCATCATTTCTATGTTGTTTTTCCCCCCGCGACGCACAGTGAATGGTTTTCAGTCGTAGATTATAAGTGGGTGTGGATATGTATCTATTTGTTTGTCTTTTGATCAGCATTCAATATGTAAAGCTTCATGAGTGAGGAGGAAATCACATTGCAGGACTTATATACGTTTTTTAAAAAAAAATAGATTTCATGGCGTGATCTCTCGAGATTATGCTGATGAGCTGCTGGTGGGAACAGAGGGTGCTTACCTCATCAGGGAGAGCCAAAGACAGCCAGGGACATGCACCTTGGCCTTAAGGTAACAAATCCATCAATATGCAGCACCGAATCCCTGAGAGGTCGGCTCTACCAGCATCCCAGCACTCACCGAGTCTCCACTTTGATCACTTTTACTCACCCGCTCAACCTCTAAAACGTATCTACCGACTACATCCTCATTCTCCATCCAGGTTTGGACACCAGACCCTCAACTACCGATTGTTTTACGATGGGAAGCACTTTGTCGGGGAGAAGCGGTTTGAGTCGGTCCACGACCTTGTGACGGACGCCCTCATCACTCTTTACATCGAGACCAAGGCAGCAGAGTACATCGCCAAAATGACCACTAACCCCATCTACGAGCATCTTGGTTACACGTCGCTGCTCAAGGACAAAATGGTGCACAGACTGAGCCGTGGACGCACAGAACCACGCAGGGTCACCTTCCAGAGAGATGAAAAGGTGGGTTTTATGACTGGATGTTGTACTGCGCTCATCCAGTTTGTAACAAGTGTATACCATGTAGAGTAAATAGAAGTGTGTATGTGTGAGATTCTGATCCTAAAACACTATCAGGGTCTCTGAGTCATTCAGAAACTGTGGGCATTCAGACTCGGAAAGAATCTGAGTGGCAAGAAGAATAAGAAATCCTACAACAAACTGTGTAGCTCCGCATCCCTTAATCAAAACATCTGGAATTACACGAAGAGTCAGAAACTTCTTAGAAGTTCCCCAAAGCTGAACTGAGCTCTACAAAATACCTTCAAAAACAATGTTTAACTGGGGGAATTTGTGCTGAGGGTGGTCCTGCCAAATATTTCTTTGTTTTGTGCTGCAGATTTTTGCATTTTGTGGATGTGGTACATGCGGTAACTGTAATTAGATTTTCTTTGAATTTTGCTTCTGTGGATTGACCTAAGCAAGCTAATTATTGACTCTTGGCTTGGGTAATATTCCAACAGGAAGGGAGCGGTGCAAAAGAAAACTTCTCCATTATATTGTTCACAATTCTGCATCCAAATGGTATAAAATACTAAAGAAGTATAGTAAATAACAAACAGACTTGTTTTCACTTTTTATTTTTTTCATCCAAATTATTTGGCTGCCCATAATCTTTCAAAACATCCACAACAAGCCAGCATTATTGCAAAGATTTAACGAGTTGCAGATTACAGTAGCTGGTATTTATCACCAGCACTGGGTAAATACTGGGGTTTTGATCCAGTTCCATACTACTTAACATTTCCAGTACATTTCCTGTAGAACGAGAGCATTCCTGAGAGGACACTTTGTCCTGTGAGTGAGACGTACATTATCCTTGCTGCCTCTGGGTGTGTTCACTGCTGCCATGCTTCATTGCCTTCACTGAAAGGTAATGATGACCAAGGGGACTGGGACTTTGCCCGGCCTGCCATCCATATCAGACACGTTGATCTTGGGTGAGACAGGTTTCACATTGTATTCGTTGGCACTCACAAGCTGATGTCAGATTAAGGTCTGTAAATGATTTCTTAATCAGGATGAGGAATGTCTGCCTTCTTCATGTTTTTTAAAAGTGTCCTTCCACTAGGTGGCAATCTGAACTTAGTTCTTGTGCCTTTTTTAAGAGGTGATGGCAGCCAGAGTCACAGCCGAGCTTTAATGTTTACATTTATTTACTATTTTTATATTTCTTGCTGTTTTGCTGTGAGCGCGTGAGCTGTATCGTTAATGTGTCTCTCAGCTTTGATTTATTCTGGGATATTTTGTCTTGAAAATGTCAGCTTCTAGTTCATCACTCAGCAACAGGCAGATGGCAGCCTGTCAGGAGGACCATCATTGCTGTGTTAACATCATCAGTCTTGAGTTCGATTTCTGTAACGCGAGAGCATTAATGCAAGCATTGGCTGCTGGTCAGCGAGTAGTCCATTGACTTATTGCTGTTTTAAATAAACTTTGACAGATACGGCTACACCGAGAACTCCTCTAAGATGTGCAGCGCTTCATTGAAAAGTGTCCCTCGTGTGTTCGATCCACAGCCTGATTTTTAGGTTTGAATGACTGTGGACTGCATTCTGTAATAAGCATCCCATTTGGCAAGTAAAACTGGAGCATGTCTCTAGCTAAATGTCAGATTTTCAGCTATCTGTGTGTCTTTGAAAAACTGACTATGCATTCCTCCTGCCAAGTATCTCAGCCGGTGACAGCTGTGATAATGGCAGACTTTGTCAGGCACCGTTTGAAAACCACCTGCCAGTCTCTTCTCACAGAGAGACTGTCTTCTGTCGGCTCAAATATTCCGCGTCTGAGAAGCAGAGACCTGACCCGATGGCTTGAATCTGTGGTCGCTTTTAAACTTTGTGTTTACCAATTACACAGCTCCACCCCGAGGCCTTTAACAGCCACAGAAGCTTCACTGTACACTCAAAATTCACGCGTGTTTACTCGGTGTCGGGTTGACACCTATGTAATACCGTAACTGTGAATGCTTGTGTAATTAAAACCCTCTCACAAGGTGAAAGGGGGCACTTGAGTGAGCCATCACTCTCCTGAGTTTCTTTGCGTGTGCAGGAATTTACTCAGTGACTAAAGCCTCTCTAAAGCCACATTGCTCCTGATGCTCACCACACTGGTTTAATCTCAGTGGCGCTCTCAACAAGCTGCCCTGCGTGCGTGCCCAAGAAAGATTTTCAAAGGTTTCGCCATGTTGTTTTTTTTTTTTTTTTTTTTTTTTTTGTTTTGTTTATTTGTTTGTGTTTTAGGATAATTACCTGTTTGCTCTGCTATAAAAAAAATGCAAAAACAACTATTTATGTCTCTTTAGTTGCAAAATGTCAAAACGCTACTTAAACAGTATTTTTATGTGGTACTTTTCCAGAGTGTGATAGATGCATGTTCGGTGGTCCTAGCCCAGACAAAAGTGACAGTTTCCTCCATTTTCAGTATCTTTCAATACTGTGTCCTTCACAGTATGCCTATTTTTCCATTTGTTAGAGCAGTTTTGTTTTAGTCCCCTTTGTCTCACTGTGCCAGTGTCCACTGTGCTGTTTTCCTACAACTCCAATCATAACTGAGTTCACTCAGCTGCATTCTCACAAAAGTCCTGAGGGGAATAAAAGAGCCAAACTGCTGAAAAGAGTGCAGAGCTTGTTGTGGGACCACCTTTTGTGTCCTTTCTTCCAAGCTCTTCTTTAAGAGACAAGAAGCCATCTGCCTGCAGACAAAGAGCACAACCCTTGTCTCCCCCTCCCTTCCCCTGCCTCTCCTCTCCTCCCCTCTGCGCGGCTAAAATATCACGGAGTGGTCTATTCCTCATCTGTCTATACAGACTTAGCTGCAGAATTAAATTGTACCGTATGGTATGCGTAGGTTTGAAAGAATGCTTGTCACAGTGACAAATTTCTTCACCTGTCTTGTCCCTCTTACAGCTAAGGCCTAGTTTACCCAACAGATATCAGAGACATAAAGGAACAAGCTGGTACACAACATGTCCACTGCCTTCCCCCTCCCTTGTGCTTCTCTGTCTGTCAGCCTAGCTTCCTACCCCTTCATTTTATCTCAGTTTTGCAGTTACCCTTTGGGTCTTTTGCTCTCTGCCTCGCCACTCTGCTTTTGCACCAGCTCTTTATCTCACAAATCCAGTGCCTACGGGCTTTCCAACCTTTGCAGTAGCTTAATAAATCACTTTTTTAATGATGTCATCCAATAGATGGACTGATCTGTTTTGTAACCTGGAAGCTGCTGGACATGAAGTCTTGCTGATGTTTATTCGGAATGTCATGTGATGTGTCGTTTGTGTGCAATACCTCGTTTTAGAAATTGTGACAATTGGAAGCAAGTCTCGTGGTGCTGTTTACTGGCTAATAACGAGCACAGCTAATGGGGACAAATTCAGCATGAACATGGCAACAACCCCCCGCCGGCAAAAAAGACGCTGCTGCAGACCTGCAAATGAGCTTCCTATGGGATTTTGCTTGGATTTGGGCACTCCTGGATTATTCCCTGTGTAAGGATTATTACAGTAATCCCTGTGAATACCAGTTAATGGTCTAGCTCTGCTGGTCTTCTGACACAAGTGATTGTCACAGACTGGAGTAGTCAGGGCAGTATAGTCAGGGCAGTGCAGTCCGGGTGTCTGGAAGATCTAGTTTGGATTGCTGTGTGGGGAATTCCACCAGCTGACAGACACAGCTAGAGGTCAAGATCTGTTTGAGTTATGACAACACAGCCTCAGCTCTGACAAGGCTGACAATCTTGGGTCTGTCTCTGAGCAGGCGAGTGACCTGTTCAAAGGATCCAGTGCTGAGTGAGAGCTGCTGGCAGTGAAGTATTATCTGCAGTTAAGTGAAGTGGAGTGTGTCCGGAAGGCACTGTGCTAATGGGAGTGTGCTCAGTGCTATAAAGAGGGCGTCTGCACTATTGATCCTGCTTTAGAGAGCTGTTGAGCTGTGTGAAGTGGTCCTGACAGCACCCGGCTGCCCTCACTCTCAACCTTCTAGCCCCTGCCCATCTAGGACCCTGCTCTATCTCTCGCTCTCTCCCTTTTCCTCCCTCTCTCTTTCTCTCCCTCTTTCTGGGTGTGTGAAAGAGGACCATTGTGCAAGGCACACTCCTGCCCTCAGGCCGCCCACTACCAGTCCTCTTCCCACTGCTGCTCTTGCTTACTGCTGCCACTGGATTCAGATCAGATGCAGAGTCGAGGCTGCGCTGGCTGTCATCAGTCGCCCTCCTGGGTCACAGGGGAGTGGAGTGTAGCTGCTGCCTCTGCTTTGGACAGTTGCCGACAGCGTTTGCTGCACAGCACTCACGGATCCCCTTCACACCTTCCCTCAGAGGAATTGGAGAGTCTCTGGGAGCCCGATCAGTCAAGCATGGAAGCTGAAGAAAACATAGGTTTAGCAGCCGAGCTGATTACCCACAAGGCTAAGAGACAGGAGAGGAAGCGCCAGGAGCTGCTGGCTTTGGCTCTGGGAGTCAAGCTGGGGAGCAAGGGGACTCTCCTGTGGAAGCCTATTAAACTGTTGGCCTCTTGTCCTCAGATCTCTTCACCTCTGGTGCGACGGAGTGCCTTGAAAGATATGCCGGAGAAGCAGTGCTCCTATGAAAAGATCCACAACTTCAAGGTGAGCAATTTCTTCTTAGACACAAGGAATGAAATGAGTCAAAGTGTCAGCTGCTGACAACATTGTTAACATTTCTCCTAAATGACTATTCATTTATTTTGTAGTAGCTCACTTTTGTTTTTCCTTTGGTTAAGCAACTCTTTAGCGAGATGCATCTCCAGATCCGCAGATGTGTTTGGATCACAGACCACAGTGTGTGTGTGTGTGTGTGTGTGTGTGTGTGTGTGTGTGTGTGTGTGTGTTGCTGTTTTGATGAGAACACATGCAGCTGACACCCATATGCATTGAGGGGAACTAATGGATACCACAACCCATTAACAACAGAACACATTGATTAGCATTGATTTAAAAGCTCTTAGATCTGTTTTTGTTTTAAGCTTCTGATTTTCTAAAAAAAAAAAAAAGTGTTAGAGTTGCATGCAAGTGCAAGAGTTATGGCTCTCTTAATACACAAATGAGAACTTGGACATACTTGCCTCTGGGCACCTTAAAATTCTTGCAGTGGTGTCTTGGGTTTCAGTTAAGAGGTGAGCTACAGTGATCCCCAGCTTTTTGTTTGCTTTGTCTTTGAAAACCGAACAAAAACTATCCACTCACCACCTGCCATGTGCCCTCTGCACTCATTAATCCACTCCTACCTATTCAAAGTAACAATGAAGGTGTGTTCAAGTGCACATCAGTGTAACTCCATTTGCCACCTTATCCTTGTTCTTACCATAGGCGTACATCTGTTATTTTGACTTTCAGGCTTGCCTCTGTGCTCCCCCGCATGTATCCAATTGCTCAGGACAGATGCCAGACGCGCTGTAGTAAATCCTTTAATCTGCCTCGTGTATACTACAAATGCGCTCATTTGGTGCAGAGTTCCATCCAGTATGGCTTGGCATCACAGTGTAATCCAGCGCATCAAAGGTGGAGAGGTCTCCTGTGTGAACTGGTCATTGACGTGTGTGTGTGTGTGTGTGTGTGTGTGTGTGTGTGTGTGTGTGTGTGTGTGTGTGTGTGTGTGTGTGTGTGTGTGTGTGTGTGTGTGTGTGTGTGTGTGTGTCTCTCTTCCCAGGTACATACCTTTCGAGGGCCGCACTGGTGCGAATACTGTGCTAACTTCATGTGGGGCCTCATTGCACAGGGAGTCCGCTGCTCAGGTACTCTACGCACTTCAACATAAAATGTTGCATGTGGTAGACTGTTTGAAAATATCCTGTCCCGTAAGTCGGATTACACGAGGCATTATAAGATCTGCGTCTTCTCACGGATGTTTCAGTTATTTAGCGTGGTGGTGGTGGTGTTATGTATTTTCCCTGTTACATCTGTGGCAAACAAGATGACATCGTCCTGTTGCTGACTCATCAAAAGACATTTAAACACAGTGAGGAACAGACATCTTTATAGAATCACAGCTTTAACTGTTATCACTCCTTCTGAGCACTCCACTCACTAATATTTTGTACCACTCCCACCAAATAATTCTAATAAATGTTATTCCACAGCACTCCGTAGCTGCTTAATAACTGCCACTGTCCAAACTAATTCATGCTGATAGAATTTATATCCAAATGTAGGTTATGTCAACAGTAAATGCTACAGATAACCTATGACATATAAAACTCGGGTCAAACACAGGCCAAACGCGGTGTCGCTGTTGTCCAAATATAGCAGCATAACTGCAGGTTTTCAGGGCCTCCACGGGGTTGTTTTCTTGCACAGACGCAATCCTGGGGCTGATGTGCGCTCTTGTGGACTCTGTTGCTCTCTCCCTAAACAGAGAGTTTGTTGTTTAGACATTTGCCATGCTGATAAGCCAGAGGCAAACGGCGGTATCATCAGACACCTCATGTGCTATGGGAAGCAGGAGAGACTTCTTTGTCCCTCTCTCTGTCCCTCAGTTCTCTGCTTATCTCCTCCAACACTGACTGAGAACGAGGACCCCAATCAGCCGACCGGCGTTAACGCTGCTCGGGCGGTTACAAACAAGTTTGTGATGAACGATTTCAGAGTAACATCCCCCAACCTCCCCCACACCCCCACGCCGCCTGGTCTACGAGTACCACTCCTTCAAAAACCTTTATTTCAAGCTGTGCTGCCACACAAGCAGGCATTACTTTTTACACACACTGCTTTTGCCAGCTGTCCAGCACAATCCACGTGACCGAAACTACAACAAGAGCCCCCCGCCAGTGCTGCCTTGTCCGCTGATATCCACCGTTGGCGCAGTACACCGAGACAGCTTAACAGCAGCTGCACTGTCTGACAGTGCAGTTTATCACTGACTCTGGGAAACCTTTTCAAACTGCTTTCTTAAGCCTGGGATGATGGTTGTGTTATCGTCTCTCTCTCTCTCTCTTTTTATCTCACTTTTGCTCTGCTAGACTGTGGGCTGAATGTACACAAACAGTGCTCCAAGCTTGTTCCCAGCGACTGCCAGCCGGACCTGCGCAGGATAAAGAAAGTGTTTAGCTGTGACCTCACGACACTTGTCAAAGCTCACAACGCAACGCGGCCCATGGTGGTGGACATGTGTATTCGAGAAATAGAACTCAGAGGTAGATCCATCACTTATTACTGGTAAAGGAAAGTAGAATACACAGTTATTTCTATTCCTTTACTCGTTTGTAATGTTTAGAAATGCCATTGATCCCTTTTTGTACAAAAGACGCCTGCATTTTCTTTGATTCATTTTTATGTTTTTGTGACAAAGAAACAGACACAAACCTTCCAATTTTCTCTTGCAGGTATGAAATCCGAAGGTCTCTACAGGGTGTCTGGCTTCTCTGAGCACATTGAGGATGTGAGGCTTGCTTTTGATCGAGGTTTGTTGACAGTGAATTCCTTTGCTCTATGCTCTGGGTTTTAGTTCAGAGGTTCGAACCTTTTGAGTAAAGTGTTTCAGCTGCAGAGGAGCGTGATACAGTGCTGTATTTTATTTTGGAAATGGCAAAGGAAACCTACAGCAATGATTTTGTATTTTGAACAAATACAAAACGGCATCTTAGTCATATATTTTCTGTTTTGTGTCAACAGATGGCGAGAAGGCTGACATCAGTGCCAGTGCCTATGCAGACATTAACATAATTGCTGGTGCTTTGAAGCTTTACTTTAGAGACCTCCCCATTCCAGTCATTACATTTGACTTGTACTCCAAATTTATTCAAGCTGCAAGTATGAGTGCTTTGGTTTTGCTATTCCGCACCATTACTGTGTTAGTACTTCTCTGCAGGGCTCTGATACTAATCATTTTACTAATGTGATGCAGAACTTCCAAATGCTGAATCCCGACTGGAGGCCATTCACGAAGGTTTGCTGCAGCTCCCTCCGGCCCACTATGAGACCTTACGCTACCTGATGGCTCACCTCAAGAGGTAACTTCGCCCACTAATCAGTTATGCTGTTGCAAAACTGACAAAAAGACAAGCTGTGATTGGATGACACTGGGTTTCTTCGTAACCATGAATATGGGCACTGTAGGTTGTTTTGAGTCAATCCTACATACCTGTAAAGATGCTCCACAGAACAAACTGTGTATTAACCTGCAACTGAAAATAGTCCCCATTAAATGCACTATTTACATAAGTTTATAAAGATTTGTTGAAAACTACAGTGTCTGCCTAAGATTCAGACTTTTTTTTTCGTCAAGCTAATCTGTCCACTAGCTTCCTAGCTACTGCAGGAACCCCTCCTCCCACAAGGTTCATGTGCCCTGGCTGGAGACACTGAATGAACACATGGCTCAAAATAAAAACATGTCAAAACAACACTCGTCTGGATGCTTCATAAATCTGTTCCCTGTGCAAACTTGATTTTTTTTTCTCTTATTTTACAGGGTGACAATGTTTGAAAAGTACAACTTAATGAATGCTGAAAACCTGGGGATTGTCTTCGGTCCAACTCTTATGCAGCCGCCGGAGCAGAACGCCTTGACAACCCTGAATGACATGAGGCAGCAGAAGCTAGTGGTGCAGCTTATAATAGAGCATGAAGATGTATTATTCTAAGGAGCGAGGCGTCCGCCCATTACAAAAGAAGAGAAGGACAACTATTTATTCTATCAGAGGAAATTCAAGCCACCTTAATTCTAGTGAAGAGTCTGAATTCATTGTCGCATGACAGTTTCACTTTGTCGGTTTTAGTGTTGACATCGTCTTGTTACTGTAAGTTTTGGGTCTCTACGCTCAGCCAAGACCATCATTTAGATATTAGGAAAGGATCCTGTGTTTCTAACTACCTACAGTGCAGTTCCCTCCTCTGTTTAATTTGAAGACTGTCACTACCTGGTGTAGACTCAGTCATAATGACAGTGCTGTGTGAAATCTGCTCTGGGCACATTGTCAGTCAGTGAAAGCTGTGTAAACTAAGCCTCACAGATCAGCCAAGTTAATGTTTCTAACATGACGTGTGCATATGTTGTACTGTTTGCGAGAATGCTGGTTTAAAAATGGGATAAAACAATGCAGATCCTGTCATTGTACATAAAATCAGATCATCCAATGATCGATATTTTGACTCTGTGTACAAACAAAGAGAAATAATAAGAAATGAGACAATTGGGCGCTCATAAAGCACTTTTTTGCAACGTGTGTATAGATTTATTTTGTACAGATGTTTATTTTTGTGTTTCTGCATTGTTCTTTGTCACAAATAATATATTCTGTCGGGGCCGGTTGTTTGTGGACTTGTTTGTGTCGATGCAAAAACGGTCCTCGAAAGAAGAGTACTGTCAGAAAAAGCAAACGTGCGTGGGTGCACCATTTCGACTTTCAGTGTATTCAGTGTTATGTGAGGAATACACATGTGGATTAAACACTGGTCATTTATTCATGTCCTATTGAAGACTGCAACAGATGAGCAGAGCTCCTCTGTATACATGCCGGTTGCTCATGTTGCAGTGTTTCAGTATTTCATGCTGTAATTTGGAATATTTTCAATAATGATCTGTTTTTTTTCTTCTTCTTTTTTTATTGCCAGTAACATTGCTCTGTGCAGCTTGAGTTGCAGTTTGCTTAACTGTCATACTAAAGCTGTACCGGGCGTGTTTCTTTCACACTTGGTTCGATTGAATCCTTTCTACAAATCCATTTTATCAAATTGTATTTTTGTGACAGTTGATAATGTAATTTATGAAATGATGATGATTTATTAAAGGTTTTAAAGCTTGAGTTTGAAATGGGGTGAGCTGCTGCAGTTTAGTGTTTTATAGGGATAGTCTGCACTTCAGTAAGTTGCAGTAGAAGTGGTTCAGGCAGAGTGAAGGCCCAGCCCTGTTGCTAGTGATGATTGCTTATATCCTGAAGCGCAGTGATTGGAAGAGCTTTTTAAAAAAAATCTCGGTTAACCAGTAACGCTACAGTGTCTTAACATTTAACCTCATTCTTGCTACATAACCCTCCCACTGATCCACTTTTACCTGTAGGTGTGTTCAGCAGGGTGGAATTTTTCTGCAGTGAGGGGGGAAAAAACAGTCGTTCTCTTTGTGAGAAAGGACATAGTTGCACCACAGTGTTCACTTCCTGTTTGGTTGCTTAAATTCTCTCTCTGGCTTCAGAGCATATCACTGGTTCATGGCAGCATTTTATTTAACTGGAACTACATTTTAGCAGGAAATGATTGCTATAAAAATATATCGTTAATCCATCACAGTTTATCTAGATCATTATTTGTAAGATTATTAAGCGATTAGTTATAAACATCTAAAAAATTGTGGCGTAAATTACTTGCGCTTTATTCATGCATCCTGGAAAGCTTTCTGCACAGTATCATCAGATAACTTCTGGAGCCGTTGAAGCTTAGATTTACTGACAAGATATATGCCGATTTGATCCATGCTAAGCCAAAATGACAGCACTGACAATAATTAGTGACTTCTTTCATCTGTGAAGCATTGTTCTGCTGCATAACAGATTGCAACTTAATATTACCAGCCTGCTGAATCATCCCTAAACTAAACTTCTGCTCAACATCCTGTATGGCTTAAATATCCTGCAAATGCCGTGTTCCATACTGTGATACTCCATACTCACCATCCTATCCAGGCCACACTGTCAAGTTAACTAGTTTAGTAACAGTGGCCGCACTTACTGTCTGCTTCTTAATGACAGCCGGATTTTGTGTATATATGATTAAATATACACTGATAAGTGCTGTTGTATACTTAGGATTGAAGAAACACTAAAACACATTTTAGGCCTCAGCGCTGAAAGAAAATCAGTACTGTGGATGCCACTAATATAACATGATAGTTATTGAAAGCTTAGTAAATATAAATGAACTGGAAAAATATGAAGAGATAAAATTATTTTAGCCTCACCACATGGAATATTTATATCCATCATTATAAGTGGCTCAAACTGCATTGCAACTGTCTGATGATTTTCTCTCGACAGTAAGCAGTGCTATATGGGACTGTACTGCTGCATTCTCATTTGGGTAATTAGGCAGCCAACATAGGGAGAACGCTGGCTTTGTTATTTGGAGAGATTAAAGAGTTGCAAGCATTCAAGAAAACAAAAGAAGGACAAGAGTGCCCTCTATTGACTGCTGAACAAACACACAGAAGAAAATACAGACATATACTCACGGGCCTCTACACCAGTTCTCCTACTCATTAACACAAACATCTAATTGGCCAGTCACATGGTAGAATTTCAACATGTTCAACACGACCTGCTGAAGTTCAAACTGAGCATCAGAAGGAGGAAGAAAAGTGATTTAAGTTACTTCTTACACAGCGTGGTTTGGCGCTAGATGGCCTGGCCTGAGTATTTCAGAAACTGCTGATTTACTGAGATTTTCCTGCACAGCCATCTCTAGGGTTCACAGAGGATTATTGAACAAACAAATAAATAAAAACATCCAGTGAGTGGCAGTTTCCTGGATGAAAATGTCTTGTTGATGACAGAACAGAAGTCAGAGTGAGAATGGACAGACTGCTTTGAGCTCATAGAAATCCCGAAACAATTCAAATAACCCCTTATTACAACCCAGGTATGTGCAAGATACAAAATGAATCCAATACTGAATGCAAAACAAGTTGAACCTCATTGCAGATGGTCTACAGAAGCAGAAAACCGCACCAGGTGCCACTCCTGTTAGCTGAAAACGAGAAGTTGAGGCTATAATTTGCATAGGTTCACAAAAATTGGACGATAGAAGATTAGAAAAACGTTGCCTGGTCTGATGAGTGTTGATTGTTTTGTGGCATTCATACATTATAGGCTATACCTTGCATCAACAGATCAGGTTGTTTTCTTAATAATACAATAAAGCCTTGTTTAAACACCACAGCCTACCATTATCATGCTTTTATGACTAGAATGTGCCATTTTCCTGATGGCTACTTCCAGCTATGTCACAATATACTTTTTCGGGGCATTAATTATAAACGTAGTAAAGATAAATTAACAAAGATTTTTTTTATTTTCAAAATAATAGTTTAATGAATCCAGAACAGTGACCTAAATGCATTTGTGGTGGCATTTTCAGTGTATGTACAATAGAAATATAAATTAAAAAGTCCTTTTAATATAAAATAACACGACATCGAGCTGATATTTTCAAGTTCAGTCACAAAAATATGAGAGTGGAGTTCAAATAGTGTGAAAATATTATTTTAAAAAAACTGATAAAAAAAAAGTCTTTTACAGTTCATCGTGCTGGTAGGTGAACTCCCTGGCAGATATAAACCCATCTTTATCTTCATCCTCGTTTTTGAAGATGTCATCCACCATAACTTCATGATGTGTGTCGTTGGGTGAGTAGCCATGTTTCTCAAATTCCTTCTTCAAGTACTCTTTTACCTGAAAGGTGTGGAGAGAAAATAGTAATGACAAAATAGATAGCCAGATAGCCAGGCAGACAGATCGCAAGCTAGCTAGCCAGATACCTCCAGTCTGGAGAGCTTCCAGTCATCATTTAGATCCATATCCCGGAAAGATTCGTGTGACCTGGGCCCATTTCGAATCTCCATGAGTTCAATGTCAAAAATGAGGGTGCTGCCTGGAGGAATTTTCCCTGTAAACCAATAAAAATGTCCAAGTGACAGAGATGTTACAGTGGAACGTTTTGTTTTGTTTTTTCTGTATGTGTTGCACATAGTTTGTGTTACCTTTTCCTTCCTTGCCATATGCCAGCGATGGAGGTACAGTCAGCTTCCTGCGCTCCCCTGTGCACATGTTCTGCAGACCCTTATCCCAACCCTTGAGCACCTCTCGGATCCCCAGGGTAAGCCACACAGGGTTTTTATCCCCATGTTTGCGGCTATCAGGAGTCAAAAAGAGACATGCAGTCAATATCCGGATGCCATACAGAGGACTGATATGCCAAATGTAAGTGGAATGAGGGTTAAGTGAGTGCCAGCCAACTATGTGAGGATATAAGTGTTGAGTTTGACTGTACAGCTGCACAAACGCAGAAATATGAGATGCTGCACATGTTCAGCGGCGTACAGTTTTAATAAGCAGTTGAGACTAAAGTATATGCAATACATGCATCACTGTTACATTTATTACCTGGAATGAAACATGGTGCCATTACTCTCCAGAAATCCCTCGTAATGAACAAGAAGCATGTCTCCGTTTTTTGACTTGCGGTGACACATGAAGGGTTTGTGTATCACCTCAATTTTCACTTCGGGCTCGGGCAGTTTTCCCCCAGTGACCAACACAAACAGTGATGCCAATAACGAGCAGAGAGAAAACAAGATCATACTTATAGATAACAGCACTTACTCATGAGAAGTGGATGAGATAACTTCAATTTCACTCTCTCTTTCTACAGAATTTAAAATAAAGACATGTAAAGAATGCCATACGTGGCACCCAACTTCTGCGACGAATGCACCCACTGTTGAGCTGTCTGCCCTCCTCCATCTGCAATTGGATAGCGTCATTCCTAAGCCCCGCCCTTTCTTTAGAATCTCTTCTTTCATTGATGCTTCCATGTGCCAATCACTACAATCCACACCTAGGCTACTTAAACCCATATGACGAAGGAGGGGGGCGGGGGTGTGGTGAAGAAAGGCGATAGTAACGCTCAGGATCGGCTAGTGGCAGATTCACGAAAAAGTTTACGCACTTTTATCGACGTAGTTGGAATGCAAAGCGGTGGACGTTACTCCGAAAATCACACTCGGGCCCAATGGAGTCGCTACAGTCAGCTGGGCATCACGTCCTGTTGTGATAAACAAGTAATGAACGGGAAAAACACGCAATTAAATAATGGAAGGAATGCTGTATAAGTGGACCAATTACATAAGTGGTAGGTTAACACTAAAGTCTTTGCGTGCTTTCCGTTGTAGAGCTCGTTTTGAGGCTGCTAGCTAGCATGACAGCGAGTTTGTGACGTTAAAACGGACGAGCTACCGTTAGCTGCCCGCCAGCTTTGGTAGCGTATTGACCACTAGCATTCCTATCTTTGATAAATTAGCTGTTCAGTGAATTAGAGTTGAGCCGTTACGTCAGTCTTAGCTAGCAGCGCTCGGTCATGTCCACCACCTGTCGTTATAATCTGACTTCACAACCAATTAGTTGTTGCTAACATAACTTAAGACTCATCAAGTTCACGAAGCTGGGTAACGCTGTATGTTGATGACTTTTCTAATGCTAAAAACTAAGTGCAGTTTACAGTAATGCCACAGCATTGATTCACTTATTTTTCCCATACGCTTTATAGGTTGGCAGCCTCGCTGGTTTGTGCTTCATGGAGGAACTTTGTCCTACTATGACTCTCAAGAAGATGCCTGGAAAGGGTGCAAGGGCAGCATTAAAATTTCCGTTTGTGAAATCCAAGGTCGGTGTGCTCCACTTTACTCTGTGCACGGTTTAACCAGAGCAAGCATCCTTTGGGTGCAGTACTGACAGGCATGTTCCCTTGCTTGCTGCTGTTTTTTTTTTTTTTTTAGTTCATTCCTCTGACTCTACACGAGTTGACCTGACCATACCAGGAGAGCAGTACTTTTACCTCAGAGCCATCAATGCAGCAGAAAGGCAGAAATGGCTGGTGGCGCTGGGAACAGCCAAAGCTTGCCTTACAGACAACCGAACCAAGAGAGAAAAAGGTATTTGGATACTTTACAAGATACTGTTGCAAGTAAAAACAGGGTAAAAGCGTTTAGACCTGGAATAGTACAGACCATACTTACATACAAGTGTTGTAAGGCATT